CTCCTCCTCCGACGCAGATCAACGTTAGCTTCCTCCTCCTCCGACGCCAATCGCCCGGTGAAGAACTCGCTACCTACGTGTAGCGTCACAGAGATTAACGAAAGATATCAGACTGGGCTCCGGAAACTCCAAGTCTTTACAAATTAATTATTTAAAAGAAAAACAAGTAAATAGAAACCTATCTCCATTATAATGTTTTAACAACTTGGGCATAACGGCTAATGTTCAACTGAGGTGAGTTAAAAAATAGAAGAGCGATACATCTTACTGTTTTTATTCTCGCATCAACAAGCAACGTCACGAGAAGAGCTCGACGTGATTGGCTGAAAGCGAAGCGCCCAGCGCGAGGAGGCGGAAGAAGAGGCTAGTTGCTATGGAGTTGAAGAAGGAAGGAAAGAAGGTCACTTTTTGAGTTTCCTTTGTGTTTTTAGTTAAAAACGAGACTATAAAATACCAAAGTTCATGCTCAGTAATCCAGGTAAAAATCCAACAATGTCAGAGATTAGGGGTGCACCGATAAATCAGCCCCGATTTCCTTAATTTTGGGAAATCTACCGATATTTTTACCTTTAACAACAATGATCTGAACTTCATTTATATTTCAGAGCACTACCTCATGGCCAGTTAAAACAAGTTTGTATTGTTTCTAGGATATTGTTCAAGAGTATGTTTTTCAATAAACGTGTGTTTGTTCCTTCTGATGTCCACGACCATCTCCTTCGTCTTCTTCACACTGATGTGAAGGTTCTTCCTGCACCAGCTCTCCAGGTGTTCCACCTCCTGCCTGGACTCATCGTTGTTTGCGATGCATCCCACCACCTCTGTATCATCTGCAAACTTTACAATGTGACAGCCTGGATGGGTAGGTGATGGTGCACAATCAAATGTGAGCAGAGTGAATAGGAGAGGGCTCAGCACACATCCCTGAGGAGAGCCAGTGCAAAAGTATGGTGCTGTGTAAAAGTGCAGTGTAACAATCCAACAATGTTCATTCAGGTCCTCTGGATGGATTCTTCTTTGCTGAAGCGTTTCTGCTTGTATCCAGAAGACTTCTTCAGTCTGAGCAGCTGCAACAAACCCAGTCTTATAAATAACACCTTCTCATAGTAGATCAACTAGTTTGTTGTTGACATCCAGAAAGGGCCTAACAACTGATGATTAGTGCTCTGATGCTGTTTGCTATTCACAGGGGGCTGAGTGATACTAGCAATAACAGCATTGTAAGAGGGGGACAGTTGGACATGGAGGCCTTTGTCCCTGTTAAATGACGGACGGGTTCTCTTCACACTGGCCTGCAGCGACTAATCTGCAGTTATTTGTGTTGACCTTCTTCTTCCAACCCATTGTTTGTCTTCCAGTTTAGGCTCTCAGTGACATCATCAGCCGGCACCATATTGTAGGTCATGCATTTTGCTTCAAGTAAAAAGCACACGGCGATCGCTAAGGAAACACGAGCAGCTGAACCGGACCAAAAGCCATAGGATGAGGCGAACATGCTCCAAATAAAGCCAGGTGTTAAGACAAGATTGGATTTTTCCAAGGGAAAGATTCATACAACTTGCCTTAATCTGCTTGGTCTTGTACTTTTAGTTGAATTTTGATCATTGTTATGGCCTGAGTGACAATATAATTGTTATAATTGTGGTAAACTGACCAAATAAATCATTACTTTTATTAAAGACCTAATTCAACCTGGTTTTAATGTTACCTCCCCTTTCCCTGGCTGAGCCGGGTTGTAACAGTTGTCCATACTTTCTTTTGGAAAGGCACAGTAGTATGCGGTCACTGCTGTGAGTACACGTTACAACGGGTGGATGGCGTGACGTGTTTTGTGTTGCTGCGCGTCAGCCACAGGTCTCGTCGCTTCGTTGACAGGGATTGAGCTGCTTCTTGATGGTGTACGACCTTCAAGCACAACATGAAACGTTTCACTTCCACGAGTGAAACGTTCCTCTATCGAGGATGTGGAAATTTCACTTCCACAACGTTTTCACTTTTTAAAGTAATACTTCTTTTTAAAAAGTCTTCAGTTAATCCAAAATGCTGCTGCCAGAGTCTTAATATCTCATATCTCTCCAGTTTTAGCTTCTCTCCATTGGCTCCCTGTCAAATTCAGAATTGAAATCAAAATCTTATTTCTAACCTACAAAGCTCTCAACAACCTGTCTAAATAAGGGTTGAATGTTCCTAACAGAGCCCTTCACTCTCAGACTGCAGGCTTACTTACGATTGCTAGAGTTACCAAAAGCAGAATGGGAGGAAGATCTTTCAGTTATCAGGCTCCTCTCTTGTGGAACCAACTTCCAGTTTCTGCTAAAGGTTTCTTCCTCATGAGGGAGTTTTTCCTTTCCACTGTCGCCTTCATGCTTGCTCAAGATGAGAGTTCTGTGATGGATTTAAATTCAAAGCAGTCTGCTTCTCGGATAAATAGTGTTAACTTATTATTTTTATATACAAATGTATCTGTTCAGTGCCCTGAGACGACTTCTGTTGTGTTTGGAGCTATAGAAATAAAATGAACTGAACTGTCCGTGAGATTTACACATTGTCCAGTTTTAAGACTGGGTTTAAGATTTTTCTTTTTGATCATTCCTATAATTAGGATTGGCTTGTTATGCTGCCATAGACTACTGGTGGACAAATTGACCTCATTTCCTTAAATGCCTTTTTGTAGTTTTTGAGTCTGAGTCTGCGCAGTCGGTATGTGGGCCTGTGAGCCCCGCCCACCACCACCGTTTATTAACAAGTATTAAAAGAACACTTAAAAATATATATTGTAACTATTTTTATTATTGATCTGTCATAAATACTAAATGCTACCGATCCGTTTCGTTGTTGTTATTGTTACGTGCTTACGTCTTACGTCACCGCGTTGTCCCTGAAGCGGAAGTGGACACGAGCAGAAAGGAAGTACGGCGTCTCGTGTCAAGAGCCCCCAGCCTTCTTCAGGTATTCAGGGCCTGTTTACTTCGCACGTGGACTCAAACAATCTAACAAAGCTCGTGATTGAAGCTAAAGCCCCGCCGGGTTTTAAAAGAACCACGTGTTTGTTTCCGAAAGCCGAACCGCAACGTTCTGACCGAACCTGCCCGGGCCCAGCCGGTCCTCAGGAGCATCATGGCCGTCAGAACCTCCTTCGAGAAGAACAACGAGGTGGGCTGCTTCGCCAAACTCACCAACACCTACTGCTTGGTGGCCATCGGCGGATCAGAAAACTTCTACAGGTGAGCTGGTTACCTGTCCGGTTCGTGATAACGTCACTGTCAGTTTTGCGAGCACGAAGCTGACCAGCAGACCAGTGGGAGGGTGAATTTGTCCCCGGGCTTTGACTGGAAGGCAGCAGGTCCCGCAGAGGAGTTCGAACCAAAGAGCCAGGAGGAGCAGACATCTGGGTTTGAGTCAACGTTTACAGGACACTAGTTTAATTCAGAGGCACCTGACCAGGTAGAAACCAGTGACGTTTAATTGTCTACCATGACCAGAGATTTAAACGACTCGTCATGAAGGTCCAGGTATTTTCAGGTTTTTAATCATTTATTTGAGCAGCTCTGTCTCCAGGGTGGAATCATTCTTCAACAAAACCATGATTTTAATAAAAAGTTTTAATTTATAATGTTTTTAAGTACACACAGGTTCTAAATTATAAATACAGGCTCAAATATATCCATATTTGGTTAAATGTCCTTCAGCTGGTGTCTCCTGGACCTCGAGCATTTTGTCTCCATCAACGAGCTTCTGCTTGACATCTGACTTGTGTTCTTCTTGGTGGACTTCAGTTAAACTGGTTGGTTTCCTGGTTTCAGACCAGTCTTTTAATCAGAGTTCTTTGAGAAGACCAGTTCAGAAACCAGTTATGACATGTTTGGGGTCATGGTCCCGTTAGACCGAACCGAGTCCAGCTTTCAACTGTCCAAACCTGATTTGAGGTGAAGCTGAAGAGTTTGGAGGTTGTCCTCATCACTTTGTCCCACAGCATGATGCTCCCACCACCATGCCTGACAGCTGGTTCAGCGTTCTCACGTCTGAAAGTCTCACCTGGACTCCTCCAAACGTCCTATTTGGCTTTGTTTCCAAACATCTCAGTCTTTGTCTCAACTGTCAAACTTTTGTCCAGAAGACGTTTGTCTTGTCCTCGTGGACAGCGGTAGGTTTCAGTCCAGCTCAAAGGTTTTGGAGCTTTCCTGGTCCTCTCGGTCCACGGTGACGTAAAACTGCCTTCATCGCGGACAGGGACCCAGATGGACAGGGACCCAGATGGACAGGGACCCAGATGGACAGGGTCTCTGGTGTTCCAGCAGGTTCCTGAACATTTGAACTAATCTTCTACCATCTGAGGGCAGTTTTCATTTTCTTCAGAAGAAACTACAACTGCAGTCAATCGTGATCACTAACAGGAAGTGAAATAGTCCTGCCAAGTTGAGACTTCCTGTATGTATACTTTTGACTCTGATCAGAGAAAATCCACACAAAGATAAAAATTAAACTTGTTTTTTAAAATGCTGAAGTTTTTAATACTTCTAATAAATCTCGGGGCGTAAACGTCTGACGGCAGCTGAACTAAAGCTGCCCGGAGACCCCAGGTTTGGACAGGTGTTGTGAAATTAATCGAACTTCCTGCGCTGTTTTGACTCAAACTCCGTTAACCGCGTTGTGTTTGTGCTCGCAGCGTGTTCGAAGGGGAGTTGTCAGAAACCATCCCGGTGGTTCACGCCTCCATCGCCGGCTGTCGCATCATCGGCAGGTTGTGTGTCGGTGAGTGAAACTCCCGTCCTCTCCGGTAGTTCCTCGGCTCATAACGGACTCGCCCTCGTTAAAATAACTCGCCGCTCTGCTGCCGCCAGGTAACCGCCACGGGCTCCTGGTTCCCAACAACACGACTGATCAGGAGCTGCAGCACATCAGGAACTCTCTGCCGGACCCGGTCCAGATCCAGAGGGTGGAGGAGAGGCTCTCCGCTCTGGGGAACGTCATCGCCTGCAACGACTACGTGGCTCTGGTTCACCCGGACCTGGACAGGGTGAGGGGGTGACACACCTGGGAGGGCCGATAACAGAAAAGCGATAGTTGCTATTAAGCGTTAGTTATTAATCTATGCGGTAAGTTAATCTGAACAAAAGCTAAAGTCAGGAAGAGAAAAAAGTAGCTAAATGCTAAAATTGGCTAAACTTAAACTCAAGACTAAAACGAGCTTAAAAAAGTAGCTTAAAGCTAAAAACCATCAGAACAGAATCTAAAAGTAAAAAAGGATAGAAACACTCAAATCCCAGGTAAAGTCTAACATTTTCCAAACCACAAATAAAGGCTAAAATTAGCAAAACAGTAGCTAAAGATAGTTGGTTTGAAAGAGACGTTTTATTTTTTGAGGGTTTCAGGAGCTCTGAATTCCTGAGGAAACATTTGTTAAGTCAGGAAGTCGCAGTTTTATTCTTATCGAGCTGAAGTCGTTGGTCCAAACTTGCTGACTCGGCGTTCAATGAGCCGAAGCGTGGAACTTGCAGCCGAGTCATGCTTAACTTGTGTTCTTCAGGAGACGGAGGAGATCCTGGCAGACACGCTGAAGGTGGAGGTGTTCCGTCAGACGGTGGCCGAGCAGGTTCTCGTCGGTTCTTACTCCACGTTCAGCAACCAGGGAGGCCTGGTCCACCCGAAGACGTCCATCGAAGACCAGGACGAGCTGTCGTCCCTCCTGCAGGTCCCCCTGGTGGTGAGTGACGTCACGTGGAGTCTTGGGTTCTGGATCGGAGAACCCCGCTCACGTTCCGTCTCCGTCTGCAGGCCGGCACCGTGAACCGGGGCAGCGAGGTGATCGCGGCGGGGATGGTGGTGAACGACTGGTGCGCGTTCTGCGGCCTGGACACGACCAGCACCGAGCTGTCGGTCATCGAGAGCGTGTTCAAACTCGGCGACTCGGCGCAGCCCTCCGCCATCGCCACCAGCATGAGGGACTCGCTGATCGACAGGTAACGCACGGTACCGCTGCGGGTTGGGGTCAACGATGGTGGAAAGCTGCAGGTGTGGCCTCTGTTTGTAAATGGATCCGAACAGCAGGACCCTGACGTGATGCTTGACATCAGCTCAGGACTTTCCTAATAATAAAAATAATTTCACGTCTTTTATTTCCACGGAGAAACGACGAGTCGTGGTTCACGTTGGTAAAAGCATCTGTGCTCAGACTGACGACTCGTAAGACGGGTCAGTTTCAGGGCTGCTGGAGCTTCGACCGAAGCGGTTTGTCGTCGGTCGGTATCGGAGCAGCAGCTCGGTTGCTCAGTTTATAGAGCTGCTGCCTCTAAGCAAGAAGGTTGCCGGTTCAAATTAGGGATGGGGCCGATCCAGTATCCGTATCGGGCTCTGATACCAGCATAATTTACATATCGGATTTTCCGATCCAACCTGCCGATATTTCCGATCCATGATGCACGTTGGCTTCAAACTGTGGAATGGATTTCCTGAACGGAGGCGCGTCTCATGAATCCAGAGTAATAAGACCCGCCTCACATTCAGGAAATCCAGTTCATAGTTTGCAGCAGCTACAACGTGAGGGCTGAGTTAGCAGCACTGTGGCTAACGGCTAACCAACTTTTCATCGTAACATGTCCGCTGTATGGAAGTATTTTACACTAGAAACACCACAAAGCAACGTGTGTGTCTGCAGAGCCACATTAAACCGCGGTAAAGTTAGTTTTACGATGGACATTCGAGCTCCGGGGCTTCAGCGGTCTGTTGTTTTCGTTCAGTCCGGAGAAGGCAGTCTGATCTCGGTCAGCCACGCTCAGTCTTCCGTGTCGGAGGAGGGACGGACTGAGATCAGACTGACCGCCTTGTCTGGACTGAAAGAAAACAACAGACCGCTGAAGCCCCGGAGCTCGAATGTTTACCGAGAAATTGCTGAACTTCATCATAATTGACCAACCACTATCATTTGTAGAAAATAAAGGATTTTGCAGCTTCATACTTGCAGCCAAGATATAGTTTACCCTCCAGAAGATATTTATCAGTACAATAAGTTGACAATCATAAAAGCATATAAATTGAAAATTACAATAAAATTATATATAAAAAAAAAACGAAACAAAAACGGCTACATCATAAAAAGATTTAAAATACTAAAAACAGAATCACGTTTGTGTTGGTTTATGCCATGAACTTAGCAGATGTTTGAAGCCATCTAATCACTTTAATATCCACTTTAAAGCTAGGAATTTAAAAATTAAAAAAAAGTTTTGTGTTAGCGGGATTTAATTCTAACTTTGAGATTTATCCAACATTAATAAAACTTACCCCGTTTTGCCTTTTTGGACGTGCATATACAAATTGTACTTGCCTGTAGAGAGGAGATCGTTACAGCCTCATATAAAATCAATAATGATGATGAGATCGGAACGGGATCGGTATCGGCCGATATCCAGATTTAAGTATCGGGATTGGATCGGAAGTTACAAAATGTGGATCGGTGCATCCCTAGTTCAAATCCCAGCCCGGGACACTTCTGGGTGGAGTTTGCATGTTCTCTCCGTGCATGTGTGGGTTTTCTCCAGGTACTCCAGTTTCCTCCCACAGACCAAAAACATGCATGTTAGACTGACTGGTAACTCTGAATTGTCCCTAGATGAGAGAGTGAATGGTTGTTTGTCTCTATGTCCCTGATGGACTGAAGACCTGTCCAGGTGTCCCTGTGATGGACTGGAGACCTGTCCAGGGTGTGTCCCCTGCCTCTCGAACAGTGACTGCTTGATACGGGCACCAGTGACCCCACACGTCCCGAAAAGGAAGAAGCGAGTAAAGATGGATGGATCAGCAGCAGCTGCAGTCTGCTGCTGATCGTGGACCTGCTGTTTGTGGTTTAACGGTCCGACGCGTCTGCAGAACTGGAGTATTTCAAAACAGTAATGGTCCAATATGGAGGTGGTGACCAACAGTTTCCTTAATTTTTATCATTTGAAAGGAGAAAAGGTTTCAGAACAGGAAGTGTTTGTCGCTCCGTTTGGCCTTTCAGAGCACTGGAGCTTCAGTCTCAGCTCAGAGGTGGAGAAACCTAAAACAACGCCGTCACCCAGCGCCGGTTTCTCTCGTTTAAAAACAACTTGAGTATAAAATGAGCGTCGTCATGATGGGCGTCGGTCCAGCTGTACTTTTAGTTTGTACCTGATGTTTAACGTTTGTCCTCTGTGTCTCCAGCATGGCGTAACGCCGCCGCCAGTTTCCTGCCGGGAGGCGCTGAAGCTGCAGGACTCCTTTCCAGCATCGAACCTGCAGCCGAGCTCCATTTCTTCAGTGTCGACCTCGTCCTCCTGAGCAGAGCCCGTTCACCTTCACGTGGTCCGTAGCTTTTTGAATCTTTCAGGAACACATCGCCCCGGTGAAAACCCATCAGCTGACGTGTTTGGACGCGTGTGTCCATGAGAATAAAACCTTTTGATGTCTCAGCCGGTGCGCTGCAGTGCAGAAATAAAACGCTGCTCGCCTGTAAGGCTTCCAGCAGCATGCTGTGCCTGAAGGTTCTGCAGAGACCGGTTCTGTGTCGTTGGACTGTAAAGTAACGGGACATGGATGTTTCTAAATTTGTAAAATAAAACCAATTCTCTTTTTATCTGTTTAAAGTTTTTATTCGTAGGGAAACTCAGACTTTGACCGCTGAACTAAAGTAAATTATAAAAAGGTTCTATGTTCTCGTCTCTCGACCGGTCCAGATCGAGGCGCCGTCATTCTGATGAACCGCTCGGCTTCAAAATAAGACGCGTAATGAAAACAAATCTCCAAAGATTGAAGTTTTTGAAGGCAACTTTTTATTTGTTTATTGGCAAATGCTTGAAGTTTGCAGTGATGCGTTTATTTACAGTCTGAAACCATCGGAGTCTAAAACAAACGGACCGTGATGGTTTCTTCACACAAACACGGGTTCAGTTTCTGGTTTGGGAAACCCCTAAACGCCTGTTTCCTAAGTTCAAACATACATTTATATTATAGCATAAAATCAATATACATTTATATGTAAAAAAAGTGAGAACATGCAAGATTTGTAGTGCAGAACGATGTTTCTAGATTCTCGTTAAAGGCGAACAAAGGAGCAGAGAACATGAGGTGTTAAAGATGCAGTCGTCTCTAAACAAGAACAATCTACGCCAACTTTTATTTTTAATTAATGTGCAAAAGAAGCTCGTTCAGTTCCTACAATTAAACACGCAACGCTCGGCGCCGTCGGACCAGGAGGGGCGCCATCGCACCGCACCACTTGAGTCCGGCTCGGATTAAAACTGGATCACTTCAGAGTCGTTTGTGTTCAAACAGAAATAAAGAAATAAAAACCCTCCTGTGAGGGTGTGACCCCCCCAAACCAACCAGAACCACCAGTTTTATGTAGCTCTGAGGATCACGATCGTCCCCGACTGGCCGTGAAAGCAGCACGAGTCAAACCCAGCTGCCCAAAGCCTCCCAGGCAGAACCGGACTCACCGGGTTGGCCTTTCAAAACTGAGCAGTTGTGCTTACAGGTGTGTGTGTGTGTATGGGGGGGATGATGAAGATGTGATATGAAGTCAGATGTGAACGGGGAAGTATTGCACGTTTGAAGTACTGAAGATCGTTGCAGGTTGGAAAGTTTGAGCGGACCGTAAACTAAAAGTAAACGTGCAGGAGTCGAACCCTGTGAAATATTAAACGTCGGGTCGGAGACCGTCTGCCGCCGCCTTCAGCTTCCTCAAACCTGTTTAGTGTTTAGGACGACGGCCGACACCGACTGGTTGGTTGGAGTCCTTTCAAAATAAAAGAACTGGACGTGTGTGCGGGAAACTACACAGGAAGTCCTCAACAGGTGAGAACTGAAGGTTTCCTATGTGGTGTCCCTCCCCGTTACCCCCCACCCCTAGACACCTGAAGATGCCCCGCCCCCTCCTCCCTAGCAGCCGAAGGTCTCCTGCGAGGCATAGACCATGTAGAGGAAGCCGTCCTCGTCCCGCTCCTGCTCGTAGATCTCGGAGATGGGGGTGGACACGGACACCATGCTGTGCTGGTTGACCAGCAGGAAGAAGGCCTGGGTGGGGTTGAGCTGCAGCCGGCGCCTGCAGAGACAAGAGGACCATGGGAAAAAAAAGATGAACAAAGAGGGTTAAAACATTTTAATGATGGACAGAAAAACAATCATGTTTCAATTCTGAGTTTTGACAGAAATGATCTCAAAATGTTCCCGGGTGCCAACATAGACATATATACATAGATGCCTCATTGAGCGCTGAATCGTACGTCGACGTCATTTTGGACGTGGCAAAAGTGAAGCGATGGAAGATGCCTCATTCATTCAGAGTGGCAACACAGAAAAAGCTGTGCAAGACTTCTTTCCCAACTTGCACACGTGCACACACTCCCTGCATATATGTTCAATACCCCCCACCAGGGCTTAATCTGTAAACCGTTTGATGCTGGAACACAAATAGTGGGCAATCCAAATATAACAGTGTGTGAGACTTAAAACTCTTTGGAGAACGGTGCTTTGTGAAGTTCAATCCATTTCCTTCTATTAGTTGACCAGCAGATCTGCCACATCCAATATGGCGGACGCTCTGAAGTAACGCTGCAATGGGGCGTCTACATATTTGTGTCTGACTGCCAACGGTTCAGGTTCAGGTTGCTCCAAATCTTTTGTTAAACTTTGCTATTACCCATTTAAAATCAAACCTGTTAGCAAAATATGTCAACCCAGTGGATGCATGACAGAGTTTCAGGAGTGGTCGGACACCCAGACAGGGCTCTGACTTAGTCGTCCAGTCGTTCAGCTGTAGTTTGAAGACATCTTGAAAACCTCAAGATGTCCAGACCATTTTCAAAAACTCTGTCGTGACCGTCATGGCGTCAGTCGAGCCGGGCGAACAAATCTTTAACGATTACCGTCAAATCGAAGGTTCAAAGTAACTCCACGTTTTTAACCGAGGTGAGTTTTTTTTATTTCCGGCCGTAAGAAGCTTCCTTCCTCAGCTGCACGGTCACTTCCTGAAACCAAAACTAACGGAGTCCTCGCACCGGTTCAGAGTCAACACGAGGTTCAGACGTGTCGGCGTTGGACTCGTCTCAGTTTTTGCTTCAGTGAACCGGATCGTATCGAGCTGTGTTCTAGTGCAGCCCAACAGAACCACTCCAGCAGCACCTGTAAAACCAACGACATCACACCGATTGATCGTGTTCTGATCGATCGTTTACCTGATGATCTTCACCAGCTCGCTCATGTTGACGTGGTCCGGTACCAGGAACTTGGTTTTATCCAAAACGGGCAGCTGTTTCTCCCCCTTGTACCTCTCAATGATGACCTGCAGACCAACACACACCGTCCTGAGTAAGCACAACGTTCTCTTCAAACATGGTTCTGATGGTCCAGAACCAGCGGCAGATACCAGACGGACGTTTTAACGAGCCACAATGGGGGGGGGGGGACTTACGGGGATCTTGTTAGGGTGCTGCTCCCGGATCTGCTGGACCTCTTTGCACCGATCAGCTGTGGACAGAAACAAAAAGCCAGTCAGTAATCTTAACAGAACCGGGTTCACTGAAAGTGGTTCTTTCATTTTACGTTTCTAAATGAACAAAGCAAATAATTTACATTTATCTTCAGTGTAAAAAGATTTCTATATTGGCTGCCAGAAATTACTAAACTAATCAAACAATCGGCCCATTCCCCGCAGGAACCTCCAGCAGGTCCAGCTTAGAGCTGGTTCCATGGTTCCTACTGGAACAGGATCCGGGAACTCTCTTACTTTGATGGGGTGCGTTCCAGTAATGTTTGCTTGGATCTGGTAACACTGGATATATAAAAATAATTACATAAACACTGATTTTAAACACAACAGTCACTTACAAGCAGACGAGCTGCCCCTTCAAGCAGCATTTCCACGTCTACCCTTAAAAAAATATCCGCCCCGAAAAGAGTGGTGGGGGTGAACGCCGACCGAGCTAACCAGGCAGGAGCCCACAGGCAGCTGCCATTAACACGGAGGAGGGTTCCCATGTGGAGTCGGACGACGACGAACCCAGGACAGTGAATTCAGCTGAGAAAAGTCGGGCGTGGATGCTGGTTCTGCTGCTCCCCGAGACTCGCTCGGGGCTCCCCTGTGAGGAGAACATACGTCTTCTTCTCTTGGGGCGGCAGTGGTGTACAGGTAGGGCAGCCGACTTAGGACCAGAAAGTTGCAGGTTCAACTCCTTGCCATGCCCACATTGTGTCCTTGAGCAAGATACCCAATCCCTACCTGCTCCCCGGGCGCTTATCCAGTGCTTGCTCGCTGCTCCACTCTCACATGCGGTGGGTTAAATGCAGAAAACTAATTTCAGCGTTCTCTGGTAACATACAATTTAAAATTTTCAGTTCATTTATTTATATAGCGCCTAGAGGTGCATAAATAAATAATAATCAATCAACCAGCCTATTTATCGGTGGCCAGTTAAAACAAGTTTGTATTATTTCTAGGGTATCGTTCAAGGGTGTGTTTTTCAATATTGGAAAACTGAAGGTGAATTGTAACCTTATAACATCTGATAGTGCTGCTTATAAAACTAATGTATCGGCAGGTCAGGTGTTTTAGAGATCTGTGATCGGCCAGAAAGCTGCATTCGGTGCACCTTTAATAACGCCACGTCATCTCAGGGCACTGCACGGAAATATTTTTATTTCTTGCTGAAGTCTCCAGAAGTTCTCTGCCTTCGTCCAGCAGATTAAAAAACACGATACAAAACCTCGAAACTCAGAGAAAAACTTCTCCCAAGATGAAAGAAGAGCAGAAAGTGATGACCTGAAAACTGAACGATCAGGTGTTCCTGGATGAGCAGCTCTGCTGAGCCACACGCCAAAAACACGCATGAAAACAAAAAAACTCGTTGTGGAAAAGGTTACGGCTCTTTCTGGGGCTGTGAACACCAAATCTCCAACAGAAGCACCTAGAATAATTTCCCTTCCATCACCGCCGTCGATACCAGAGGTCAGCACCGCCGCCCCACAGGAAGAAGGCCTGCGGTTTGACTCTCGGCTGAGTCCTTCCTGTGTGGAGCCTGCGTGTCCCTCCCGTGTATTAATCAAAGCATTTCCAAAACATTGGAAACATTCTCAATCTCACCGCGTTTCAAGTCTTAAAATCTTGAAGTAGAGTTATCGCATCATTAATAGGTTTTAAATTTCTGTACCTTAAAAGTGCAAACCCACTGAAATTATGTTTTTGGAAATACAGAAGACGAGACGTCCCGTGTTTACATGACCCAGTGTAGTTTTGCTGCCGGACTAACAGGATATTCTAAAACGAGGGCACATGCTTACGCTGCGAACAGTGTGATCAAATCTACCTGCAGGTATAAATAAAGTTGAGCCACATTTCACTCAATAAATTCATATTAGGCGTTCTGTGAAGACTGGAGATGAGTATTTTGTATTGGGCCTTCAGTCAAAGCCAGTTACCAGTAAACGCTAACGAGGTCAAAATGTGTCAAAGTGCTGAACTATTTTAGTTTGGCCAGAAACTGCTCTTTATGTATTTAACATGTTTATTTAGTCTGATCAGCACTCTGCCATCTGTGTCTGGAAGTAACTGGAAAAAAAACAAAACTCATATGGACCTTCCGGTAGTTGGCTTCATTTAACTTTAGTATTAAGACAAGGATAACTTAAGTAGCCTACACATCATTGTCCATATCCTGATGCATGCTCATTAATCCAGGTAGAAAAATCCAAAAAAGTTAAATCTGGTCCTCTGGACATTCAAAAAAACAAAACAAAATTTTTGATCACTGTCCATATTTACATATTAACAATATAAAATCATTTAGCGTATATATTTTACTGATAAACTAAGTAAGACAGGCTGGTAATGGGTAGTATTTAATATATGTAAAAATATATTTCCAGTTAGGATGCATCTACCCTCGGTACTCTGCTTCATGGTCATAACAGCAGTGTAGTCTGGACAGCATTAATAACAGTCTAATAAGCTATTATTATACCAGACAGTACTACATTTTTATTTGTTTGGTTGTTGATAAGGTTACATTATAACAACAATAAAACATTGAGTTTAATAGATTAGTTTAATTTTCCCCTCAAATCTATTTGAGTACGTATTCTACATCACTTTACAACCTAGTTGTTTTTGTTTCGTTTTTTTAATTTATACCATTTTATTTTGTTTTTCTCAATTTGTATGCTTTTTATGATTGTCTACTGTTCTCATCACGCTTTGTTAGAATCAGGTCTCTCTTGTAAATGAGCCCCCGAGGCTCAATGGGATTAACCTGTTTAAATAAAGGTTGAATAATCTGCCTCAAAGCTGGCGGCTGTAGCACTTAGCAAGATGGCGGCACGAATTCTCGCCTGCTTAGCATAAACTGCGCTGTGGTTGTCCGTTCCGGTGTTTTTTTTATTTCTGTAGACAAGATACTCTTGAGAGTTCCTGTATTATGACAACTACACAAGTTAGTTTAGTTTAAAAAGTTGACATCTTACGAGACATAAAAGGGACGTTTTAACTTTTATTTGTGAGATGAGAGCTGATTTGTGGGATATTGTTGCTTAAGGTCCAATTAGCTTCGAGCTAACCTCTGCTAATGTCATTATTTGATCGTGAGAAGGATTAACAGGTAGAGTAAACAATTATTTTAAAGCTGCGTTTGTTGTTGTATCCCTCGGACTGTGGAGGATTATGCAACAAGAAGCCGAGGGCTCCTCCCAGCCCAAAGAACCGTCTCCTCCCGGTATCAGATTACCGCAGAAATCACCGAGCACGTGCGCCGGGATAAAGTATCAGCACGTGCTGTTTTTCCTCTCGGCAAACATCGACAGCGTTCGGAGCTTATCCGCTTGTGTAAAAGGCTGCGGCTGGCCTCGGTGGCCTAACGTCACAGTGACCCAGATGGCCGCGAACCCAACTGGCCGAGCCGAACCCTCGGTGGTTCTTCACACGCAAACAATCAGCAGCTTTCTCCAGCTTCTGTAAAAACAGCTGAACCGGTTTATTTTGAGGTTAGCGGCGTTTGTTGTCGACGTTAGCCTTTAGCTGCTGTTTGCTAACAACACGGATCGGACACTTGTCAGCGGAGCTCGGTTCGAGTTTCTCCGGGTTCCTTACCGAACGTCCTCCGCTGTTTGAACGGCCTGTCGGACGGCATCGCTGTCGTAGTTGGTTCGGTTCGTGTTGGGCTGGTTTCTGTGGTCCGTCTGAAGCTCGGCAGCAGCTCGGAACAAACAAAGCCAGTAAACTGATGCTCTTCTTCTTCTTCTTTGAGGTTTATTGGCGGTTGGCAAACAACGAAATTGGTGCATTACCGCCACCGACTGGTAAGGAGTGTGGACCAAAATGTCACTCAAGGATTAAATCCTCTTAAATAACTGTGTTGATTTAAGATAATGAAAGATTATCTGATAAACTTTACTATTAGAGTTATTTCTGAATAAATCAATTAATTCTAGTTTTACTTTAATTTTATTTAAATTTTGAATCAAATGTCGTCTTTCTTCCTCATACATTTTGCAGTGTAACATTACATGCTCTACTGTCTCATCTGCTCCACAGTACTCACATTTACCAGTGCAGTGTTTCCCTAAAATAAAAAGAGTGCTGTTTAACCCAGTATGCCCAAATCTGAGACGAGAAATAATTGTTTCTTCTCTCCTCGTCCTCCCTGTACTTCTCATGTCTCCAGTTTTCTTTTGGATTTTATAGAACCAGCGTCCTTTCTTTTCTTCCTCCCATATCTTTTGCCATTTATCCTTCATTTTCTGTTTTATTAAAAGTTTTATTTCTGATTTACTAAAATTAACTACTAAATTCACCGATTTATTTCTAGTGGCTTCCTTTGCAGCTTTATCTGCCATTTCATTTCCTGTAACACCATAATGAGCTGGTATCCATAAAAAATGTATCATTAGACCCATCATATTTATTCTGTATAGTGTTTGTTGAATTTCTATTAAAATATCTGGCCTGCTTTCTGAATGGTTATATTGTAAACTGACTAAGGATGAACTGGAGTCTGAACAAATCACTGATCTCAATGGTCTTGTTTCTTCAACCCACTGAATGGCTAATAATATTGCGAGCATTTCCCCTGTGTACACTGAAAGTCCATCGTTACTTCTTTTCCTAACTTTGATGTTGAACTCTGGAACAATGAAGGCTACACCGACTTTATTTACTAAGTTCTTGGAAGCATCTGTGTAAATTTGAACATAGCTGTAATATGTATCAATATGGTTCTGTACTGTATTTGAATTTAAAATGAACCCATTATTCTCATTTCTTTTTTTCAATAATGTAAAATCTACCATGGCATCTGGAAGTATCCAAGGTGGTATTACTGGTAATGGAGTTGTTTGACTTATATTGATCTGATCTATTTTGAGTTCTGTCGTTTTCTGATTCACAATCCAACCAAAACTTCTGATATATTTTACTTCTTTTTCCCAACAAGGTTTAACTGTCTCTTGTGTTGGATGATCCTGTCCATGACCTCTCAGATTAGCCCAGTAATTTAGAGTTAGTTGTTCTCTTCTAATTTTGAGTGGTATTTCTCCCATTTCTACCAGTAGTGATGATGTTGGGGTAGATCTCAGTGCACCTGTACACAGTCTCAATGCTTGATATTGAATACGGTCTAATTTTTGTAAAGTTGTATCTGCTGCTGAATTATAAACAATGCTTCCATAGTCTAGTACTGATCGAATTAATCCTGTATATATAGCCTTAAGGGCTTTCCTATCTGCCCCCCAGTCACTACCAGTTAAACACCTCATGATATTTAACACCTTCTTGCATTTATCTAACACTTTCTGTACGTGTATATTCCATGTAATCCTTTCATCAAACCAGACCCCAAGAAATTTAAACTGCTTCACTTTTTCTAGTTCTTGGTTATATAACTTTAGTTTAATATCATCTCCAATTTTTTTCCTTGTAAAGAACATTGTCTTAGTCTTTTCTACCGAAAATCTAAATCCCCATTTGTATGACCATTTTTCAACTTTAGAAATAGCTTCTTGCATTTTTCTAATAATAAACCCCAAGTTCCTTCCCCTCTTCCACATTGCTCCGTCATCAGCAAAAAGAGAAAAACCCATCCCAGTATCTACATTTTGAAACACATCATTTATCATTATTGTAAACAATAAAGGACTTATTATACTCCCTTGTGGAGTTCCGTTTTCGACAATGTGTTTCTCAGAATAATGGTTTCCTATCCTTACTTGTATTTGTCTCCTGGTAAGAAAATCTTTTATCCATCTGTACATCCGTCCTGTAATGCCTATATTTCTAATTTTAATTAATAAACCTTCTTTCCACATCATATCATACGCTTTTTCAATATCAAAAAACACTGCTACAATACTCTCTTTTTTAACTTGGGCCTTTCTGATTTCATATTCCAAACTTAAAACTGAATCCATGGTGTTTCTACCTCTCCTAAAACCACTTTGATATTGTGATATATATTCATTTGATTCTATATAGTAAATCAACCTGTCATTAATCATTTTCTCCATTATTTTGCATATATTAGACGTTAATGCAATCGGTCTGTAATGTTCTGGGTTTGTGTCATCTTTGCCTGGCTTGTGTACTGGTATTATCACTGCTTCTTTCCATCCCTGTGGTAATTTTCCATTCTCCCAAACTTTATTATAAAGATCCAATAAAATGTCTTTAGAGGATTCACTAAGATGTTTCACCATTAAATAACAAATCTGATCTTTCCCAGGTGTTGTTAGCTTAAATTTCTGTAGGGCTCGATTTAGTTCTGATTTTGTAAAAGGAACATTTAATAGATCATTTCCATCCTCTACATGCTCCAAGATCTCTCTATTCTCTATCATTGTCATTTCTCTTCCCCTTTTCCCTTCCAAAGTAATATTATCTGAACTATGTATTTTGGTAAAGGTTTTAACCATCAGATCTGCCTTTTGTTCATCTTTTACTGCTGTAATTTGACCATTGTTTAATACCGGATAACCATATTCTCTTTTAATTCCATTCATTCTTCTTATCATTGTCCATACTTTATTAATCCCAGTTTCTCTTCCTACTGAATTACAGAAATGCCTCCAATAATCCCTTTTTGCACTTTTAATAGTTCTTCTCACAATGGCTTGACATCTCTTATATTCAATAAGATTTTGATAGCTGTGATTCCTTTTTAACATTTTAAAAACTTTATTTCGACTTTTGATTACTTTATCACACTCCTTTGTCCACCATGGAACAATCTTCTTACAGCCCTTACCTCCTTTCTTCTTTATAGATTTGTCAGCAGCCTGTATGATTGCATGACAAACAGAGACATTTAGCTGATCAACTTCCATATTTACATTAATTTTTTCCAATTCCTGATCACTTATACATCTAAATGTTTCCCAATCAGCACTACCAAAACACCATTTCTGCAAACCACCCGTCTTATATTTTTCAATATCCAATTTTATTTCTGTTATTATGGGATAGTGGTCGCTTCCTATTGTTGTATCTTTAACTATTTTCCATGTACTTATTCCTGCTATTGAATTTGATATTATTGTTAGGTCAATTGCTGATTCCATACCTGTTCTCATATCAACTCTTGTACCCTTACCATCGTTTAAACAGACAAGATTTTTATTTTCCATTAATTCTTCAATAATTGTTCCATTACTATCATTCTTAGTGCCCCACAATGAGTTGTGTGCATTAAAATCACCGCACCAAAAGATGTTTCCATTTAAATAACTATTGAGTTCTTCCATTGATTCATGTGAAAGTCTTTTGCAAGGATTGTAAAAATTTATTACTTTGATGCTTTCCTTCCTGTTCCAAACTTCAACAACTAAATATTCTAAATGAGTTCCTTTTGCTAATAATCTAAAGTGCATTCCTGTTTTTACAAATGTTACACATCCCCCTCCCTGGGTCTCACTTCTATCTCTGCGTACACCAGTATATCCTCTAATAACAAAGTCTAAATTTGCTTTGAGCCAAGTTTCCTGAATACATATTATGTCTGGTTTGTTGTTAAGATTTTTAATAAAGCCTTTAAATTCTTGTCCATTTGCGATTAAACTTCGAGCGTTCCACTGTAGAATAATCAGAGTGCCCCCTCTCCTGATGTCCCTGACTTCCCGATTCCCCCCAGTTCTTTGTTAATATGCTCCCATGAAATGTTTTTTATACCAAAAAATTTCTCTGCTCCTTTAACTATTATTTTAATTTTCTCTGTTTTGTACTTGACCTGATCTGCACAGTTAATCACATATGCAATGAACAACATGATCCTCTCCACTGTAATTGTAGGTTCAGGTCTCTCTTTTGGTAACTGGGATGCTGGGTTTTGTTGTACACTCATCTCTCTCCTTCCAATTTGTTCTTGAACTTTTTTCACCGCTTCAGCATAGCTGATATTATTTACTGTTTTAATTTGCTCCACTTTAATGGCCTTTTTCCTAATTTCACATCCTCCAAAAGTCACTCTATGCTGTCCCCCACAGTTACAACATTTATCTTGTGCATTGTCACCACACTCTTCATATCTGTGATCACCACCACATTTTGGACACCTTTGCCGTCCCTTACACACAGCTGCAATGTGTCCATATCTTTGACACTTATAACACCTGAGTGGGGGAGGAACATAAGGCCTAACTGGAAAGCTCATGAACCCGATCTTAACCTTCTCTGGAAGTACATTATTTTGAAATTCAATCATTATCGACAGGCTTTCAGTTCTTTCTCCATTTATTGTTCTCAGCAATCTTTTTAAGTGATTCACTTCTGCACCCTGAATGCTCTTTTTAAGCTTTTCTAGATCTTCATTTACTGGTATTCCTGTTATCACGCCCCTCGTTACTTTCTTCTCTCCTAAAATCCTTTTCTCTCTCACATTTTTTCTACAAATACTTTCAATATTCAGTGCTTTATTTTTCTGTTCTTCAGTTTTACAAATGACCAGTATACTCCCATCTCTAAGTGTTTTTGCAAAAGAAATATCTCCAATCTTCTTTTTGAGTTCTTTTGATAATGCAATTGGACCCAGCTGTATGTTATTGTCTTCTTCTTTAAATTTCAGAATAATTTTAATTTCCTCTTTAACAATCTTTTTGCGGACCACAGGTGTCCCTTCATCTGAACTATTCTCTTCCAAAGTCCTTTTACTAACCTGTGTCCCTACCAAACAATCATTTTCTCGCCCTATTCTTCCTCTTCTTCCACTAACAACTTGACTCCAATCATTTAAATCCATATCCTCATCATCTTCCTCAACTTGAGCTGCCATTCTGGCCCAGTCACAAACCAGTTTATGCCAAACCGCTTGTTTCTTTTCTTCAAACACTCTTTCTTCAATGAAAAATCAGCCACGTCAAAACGTTCTCACCCACTTCCAGCGGAGTCAGGACTCAGCGCCGACGCCGCAGTGCTGAACTCACACTCTGCCAATCACCAGCTTGGCCGCCGTAAACTGATGCTCTGACGTCATCCGCCAAATTTAAAGGGACGTACCGCTGTGGCAAGCCGTTGTATCATATATTAGTTGACGTAACTTTTCCTAGCTGTTGGCAGGCCGGTTTAATATATAATCAAATCCCTAACAGACTGAAAAGCATACAAATTAAAAATAATAATAATTAAAAAAACAGAAACAAATGTGTAATTACACATAAAAGCTCAAGCAATAAAATAAGAAAAACTGCTTTTCTGTAAAAGCTACTTTGCTGAAATGCGTTGAGAGTAAATTGTTAGAAGCTAAAAAGAGCAAAACTGTAACTAAATGCTAAAACGAGCATAAAAAACAAAAACAGAATTTTCTGAAGCAAATGCCAAAGATAAATGTTTTTGAAGGAACTGAAAATATAATTAGGGGCTGAGATGGAAGCCGACTCGGGACTGAAGGCCCTGGGTTCGATCCCCAGTCATTGCACGTCTTGTGGTGTCTCTGAGCAGGAAACCTTATCCCCAGTCCCCCCAGTCACCATCCATAGCCGCCCACCGCTCCACCCAGTGCTGGATGGGTTCAAAGCAGAGCCAATTTCACCATTGCATGGGAACATACGATGACAATACATAACGCATTATTATAAAATACGTCAATGTGAGGGTATATTTTTTGTAAATAGTTAAATATTAAAAAAGTATAAAAGATGGTCCAGATGACGCAACTGAAAAATGTTGGATTGTATACCTGGATTATTGAGCATGGACTTTGTTGTTTTCAACCAGTTTGACAAGACTGTCAACAAGGAAGAGGGCCGGCTATGGAGGAGGGGACGTACCAAAGAGACCATCTTATCACAAGCAGAACTGGTTTGTTCTACTTTGGAGTAAGCTGTTGGAGGAAGAATCAGTTTTGTTGTGTTTCCTTGACTGATGAAGCCTTCTGGATCGAAGGTGAAACGTTTCAGCACAAAAAAAAGAAACTGTCCAGATGACCTGACTGAAACATGTTGGATTGTATACCTGGATTATTGAGCATGGACTTTGTTATAAAAGATGTTATGTTTTAGATTGTGTATTTTTTTTTGTTCAGTTATCTTTGTAGCTGCATGAATGTGTGAATGATCGTGTTGTAACGAGACGAGTGTCTTGAGAAGAAGTCGCTATACGAGTACAGTCCGTTTATAGTTTTTATGCTGGATCTTCATGTAAAGACAGAGTACTTAAGATTTACTAAAGCGAAACAATAAACAGTATATTCCACATTTTCACCAGATGTTTTATTTTATAAATCAGACCAGATGTTTTAGTAAAATTTCATGTAATTTGTATGTTAGAATAACTTTAAATTGTTCAGAAAGAAAATGAATCAAGTTTTTAATGGGAGCTGAGAAAGCTGAATGTTTTTTATTTGTTAGGAATTTATTTTTACGATTCAGGATTATTCTCAGAAAAAGATGAAGTTCAGATTTATTGTCTCTAAAAGTCGTAGTTTTTACTTTTTACTTAACTTTTTCTACAGCGTATTTTAAACGTGCCCATAAAGATCCGACTGAACAAACACAACAAACTTGTTTGTCGTTTTATTTCACGAGCAACAAACAAACAAACAGCAGAAGGCTCACCTCGTCAACACTTCAACCGTTTTTATGATAAAATAAATAAATCGTGAACTCAGCTGGTTCTGCTTCATGTTTCCTACTTCTACAGAAGAGAACCCCAAACATGAACAGAACCAGAGACGGGTCCCGTTTCTTCCACCCTCAGATCTTTGTCTTCTCATTCTGGAAAAGGTCCAGAAGCTTCTCAGAATCTGGAGGTTTTTATTTAACAAAAACAAAAAAAGCCAGTTTGGTCATTTAAAGATGATCCGATGAGCAGCCGCTTCAGACCGAAGGGTTCTGAATGACGATCAAGAAATAATCCTTATCTGTGGAGAAAACAGAAACAAATCAACACCCTGAGCTGGACCGGACTCGAGGCTGAAACTGGGAACCACCAGAACAACTGGAGCCAAGTTCGGATCAAGTCTTGAATAAAGAAAAGAAACACGAGAGCCAAGATCCGTTTAAAAGCGACTGAAACTCAACAAGATGAGCTGCTGTGGTTCAGGGAGAACTAAAAGTTCGGTTTTCACAAAAACACGATTTGTTTAACTGAATCAATAAAAAATACAAAAACAGTTTGATTAAAAATGTATAACATTAGCTCCAACAAAGCGACTGCTGGCTGAAAACTGGACGTGTCTGAGGCAGAAGCTGCTGAACAGAACCTGAAAGAGCTGCAGCAACCTTCGGCTGATCTTCACATCTTCACACCTTCACATCAATGTGAAGAAGACAAAGGAGATGATTGTGGACTTCAGAAGGAACAAAAACACCTACACCCCCCTGAACATAAGAGGATCTGTGGTGGAAGTGGTCTCCAGCTACAAGTACTTGGGTGTACACATGAACAACAACCTCAGCTGGAGCAACAACACCACCAGCCTGATGAAGAAAGATCATCAGAGACTCTACTTCCTCAGACGGCTGAGACGAGCTGGTCTGGGAAGCTCAGTCCTCACCTCCTTCTACAGGTGTGCAGTGGAGAGCATCCTGTGCTCGAGCATCAATGTGTGGCATGGAGGCTGCACAGCTGCAGAAAGAAAAGCTTTGCAGAGAGTGGTGAAGGCTGCACAGAAATCTGTCGGAATCAGTCTCCCCACCATCACAGACATCTACACCTCCAGATGCAGGAAGAGGGCCACCTGCATCATGAAGGACCCCACCCACCCAGCACACACACTTTTTGCCCCACTCCCCTCAGGAAGGAGGTTAAGGAGCATTAAGTGTAGAACCACTAGACTGAGGAACAGCTTCTACCCTGAGGCTGTTACACTCATGAATCTCTAACTAGAATAATCACTGTGAAAAACCATATCATGTTGCTGCTGATCTGTTTCATGTTGCTGCTGATCTGTTTCAATGTTGCTGCTGATCTGTTTCAATGTTGCTGCTGATCTGTTTCATGTTGCTGCTGATCTGTTTCAATGTTGATGTGTTCATGCGTGCACATCTGCTCACAGACTCATGTTCATGTTTGTGCTGATGTTCAATGTTTTATGTTATGAGTGCTTAGTGTATATTTAGTTGATGTTTTTCTTGGTTCATATCTTAGATGTTATTACTGTTTTTCTTATACATTATATTGTTGGATGTAACTGGGACCCTGTGTACATAATTTCGCTCCACCACATGTACCACATGAGGTGCGAATGACAATAAAGAAACTCTGACTCTGATCGGTCCCATTCTCAGCTAAAATCACTGGAAATCTTCGTTTGATCGACTCAACCTGCAGCTTCTGCACAGACCGATGAGAAAACCATCCAGTTCAGCCTCGTGTTATTTTTCTAATGATCCTAGAATTTAAATATCCTCGTTTTAATCTAAAAGCTCAACTCCAACTGTGCCGTGTCGTTTTCTTGTTTTCAAGCCTCTCACCTGGAGCGATCATGATCTCGTTCTTCTTGGACCGGACTCGCAGGAAGGTGAGGTCGTTCTGCGGGTCAATGTCTCGGACCGTGCTCCGGGCCTTCATCACCAGCTGGTGGATGAGAGCGGCGTACTGCACCGTGCTCGAGTTGTCCAGGGTCGTCTTGATGGGGATCCCTGAGGACAACACAGATTAAACACCCGAATAATCCAAGGAGAATCAGGCGTTACTGAAAGTTTGTTGTTGTTAAAGTCACTTTTATGGAACCGTTTAAGTTCATTTTTACTTTAACCATCAAAGAAATTTCAGTTTAAAAGATGTGAGATTCTAAATAACTTTGCATAAAAGAGCTGGTGTTGTGCTGGATTCTGACTCCACATCAGCAGTAATCAATCTGGAAAGGGTCAAAGGTCATTCAGAGTCCATCACCCTACAGAGAGAACGGAGTATAAGCCGATACTTTTTTCACAGGCTTTGAACCCTGGAGTAACGAGCCTCCTGCCACCAGGCGCTCAGAGTTGCCCAGTGCTCCTCTCTTTGGGGTGGGTCCTCGTGACACTCACTGACAGACTGAACCCCCCAGGTCTTCATGACAAAGACCTCCTTCACTCATGGTTACTCTGCTGAATGGCCTAACACAAACCAGTGTGTCCTCTAGATAACTTGCCATGGCTGGCGCTCATCTCGTCCACGATTTTTGTCGGGGGGAGGGACGGAAGGACACGTCTGCGCAGCACTTACACCGACAGATTTGGGAAGGGGGGGGACAGAGATAAAGCTGCACGCTGTTTGCGCGACAGTTTTGGAGCAGGGCCGAGGAAAGAGACGGACACATCTCGGCCAGCCGGTTCATCGGCCTCGATTTCCTTAATTTTGGCCGATACTTGCATAAGAAACCTCTTTTTGTTGTTGTTTTAACAACAATTGTCTGAGCTTCATTCATATTTCAGAGCTCTACCTCATGGCCAACAAGTTTTTATTGTTTCGAGGATGTTGTTCAAGGGTATGCTTTTCAACAAAATAATAATTGAAAATTGAAGGTGCGTTGTTCATTCATTCATTCAATCTTTATTTAGACAGGTGACATTACAACACCTGACAGTTGTCACTTATAAAACAAAACTGGTATCGGACAAAATCAGAATCTGTAGGTCAGGCTTTTTAAAAATCTGTGATCGGCCAGAAAACTGCAATCGGTGCAGCCCTAGTCTTAAGTAACGTTCTAATTTTCTGAGATACTGAATTTGGGGTTTTCATCAGTTGTCAGTTTTAATCATCAACATTAAAAGAAATAAACATTTGAAATATACCAGTCTGTGTGTAACGAATGAATATAATATACAAGTTTCACTCTTTGAATGGAATTATTGAAATAAATCAACTTTTTCATGTTATTCTAATTTTATGACCAGCACCTGTATATGTACAAAATAGTTTTATTACTTTAGTTACTGTGTGCAGCTTGTACTCAGGTGTGCTCTATAGTCCGGAAGTTAAGATATATTTCACAAGTGGAAAACATTTAAGACATCGTCCCAGGAGTGGACATCCCAGAAAATTCACCCATGAGGTCAGGCCGTGCAATGAGCTCACTCTCCAGGCCTCGGACAGCAGGTCAAAGGTCATGGTTCGTTTGGAAGGAGAAATCCTTTTTAAGACAACATGGTAACACAACTAAGGTTTGGAAAGTTTCACCTGAAGGAACCACAAGACTTCTGGACCAGAACCAGACCAAAGGACAGATATTTATCCAGAATGCACTGCAGCAAACAGCTCCTCGCAGCCGTCAGAACGGAGGTGGAGGGCTGATGGTTTGGGCTCCTGTGAGTCCCTGAGTGGACCAGGAACTCAGTCATGTCCAATAGGACACCGGTTCCAAGCACAGCAGCTGATCCACAACAGAACGGGTCTGCAGTTCGGTCCATTGTCCTTAAATAAATAGTCGTGTCATTATTTATGTATTTAAAGGTTGTGGTGACATAATTTTTAACCCTGGTAGAACCAAATGATTATGAACCCACATGAGCACCAACAGAGCTTTAGAGAAAAGAACGGTTTAATATTTCAGTTGAGTCGTTTTTTACCTTCAGAGTTGACGATGATGATTCCCTGAACGCCTTTCTGGTTCCGAATCCTCTTCAGAGTTTCTTCCACTTCAGCCTGAAACAAGGAGAGCTGGTTATTAAACTCAACTAATTAAAACTAGATCAGCATGAAGGCTGAACCCTGCAGAGAAAACTTTTTAGCCTCTCTCCAGCTGCCTGACAACGCCCGAGCAGCTTTATCCTGCTAGCATCAAATTAAAACCTCCGATAAAAACTCTAAACGTTTTGAGTCACCGTGAAAAGACTAACAAGTTCATTAAAAATATAAAAAGCAACTTATCTCACCATTTCAGCCTTTTAAAGAACAAAGACTCGGCGAATAAAACGTCTTTTTCAGCTCCGCAGAACGAGCAGCTAACGGCTAGCAGCTTTGTTTTTTAACGGAAAATCTACTTCCGGGTCAAACGTAACGGCGGTGCGTTCACGTACCCGGGAAAATGAAGGATTTCCTTGATCGATGCCAGACTTGGAAATTAAAGTTAAACATTGATAAAATATAGCGCCACGAACTTAAAATATAATTCAAAAGACTTTAATAATTTTTAAAATTGTATTTCCAAAAAGCCAACGTTTGTGTTTTTACTCATCTAACTTTATCTAGATATTTAAAATGTGAAAAAATTAAATAAAATACAACATCAAAATGTCAAAAGTTTGAAAGAAATATTGAGTTACAAAATATTAAATCAAATGCATAAATTTAAGACTTTTGCTGCGTTTTTGTTTTGGGGATACAGTATTTTCAAAATACACTTTGTTTTTTAAACCTGAAGGGAGGCCTGGAAAGGAAAATGTAAAAGTTTGAGTTTAGTCAACAAAAATGTTAAATAATTAAACAATGAATAAGTTTACAAAACAGGTTAAATCAGGTCATCTAGAAAAGTTTCTTTTAAGGAGAAACATTTCTAAATAAAGTAAGTAAATAACCAACTAAATAAGTTTGTTTGCTGTAGTAGTGTAACTGACTCCAACATCTTCTGTGCAGCCTTCACCACTCTCTGCAAAGCTTTTCTTTCTGCAGCTGTGCAGCCTCCATGCCAGTTGATGCTGGAGCACAGGATGCTCTCCACTGCACACCTGGAGAAGGAGGTGAGGACTGAGACCAGTTGTCTCAGCCACCTGAGGAAGTAGAGTCTCTGATGAGCTTTCTTCATCAGGCTGGAAGTGTTGCCAGGGTGCAAAGTGGGAGTGTTTTTACGTCAAACTGGTTTTATACCTCTGTGGAGAGGCTTTGTTAGGATACAAACGATGGGTAATAATATAATAATATAATAATAATAAAAGTATCTAGTACCTAGTATCAAAAACTAATGCCAAACAAAACCTAATCCAAAAGTCAGAGGAAGAGAATAAAAAGCTCCACTTGGATTAAGAACCAACTGAAAGAACTTCATTGTTCTTTTGTGCAGCAGAAAAAGGTCATCCTCTCCTGCAGGGGGCGCTCTCCTCCTGCTGTCAGTCTCTTACGTAGAGGTGGTGTTGTGTCGCGAGAAGGACCCTGTCTTGAGGAGTCGCTCGTTGCCGTTAGTTACGTCAGAGACAAGTCGCTTTGAGCCAAAATGTGTCCTGGACCTTTTACTCCCACATAACATGCCTATAATATAATTTATACTAAGCACAATTTTTTTTCTTCCAAACTAGATTTCTATTTTCATTTTTTCATGTCTCCTAATGGCAAGGAGTTTGGAGGGGCGGGGCTAAGAGACGGATCTGTGAGGGTTACTAAGTTGCGCACGACACCGGGTCGCTGTTGTGGTAAGTTACGGCTAGCAGCCAGCAGGTTCGTTTGACCGGTCCAGTCGCAGCACTTTCCTGCCCCGGCTCCTTCGCGTGTCTCCTTCCGGTGTCTGACGGAGACTTTTCTGTTGTCTTGTGTGTGATGGAACTGGACAAAATGGATGAAAACGACTGGAAATACCACGGAGAGGGGAACAAGAGCCTGGTGGTCTCCCATGTTCAGGTGAACCCGCTAACACGAAGCTAATCCTGTCGATACGAGGCTCGTTAGTCCGGAGCCGGAAAACCTTGTTACGGGCGAAAGACGCTATAAATCACAGCTTTTCAGTAAAAAGTTACTTTGGATGTCGGTTAAAGTGGATTCATAGGATGTCTGGTTTGTTTTAAAGCTAAAACAAGTAAAAATGTCCGGCTTCCCGAGCTAACAGCATAGTAAAGAGTTTCCACTCCGATTAACGGGAGGGGTTTATCGGGCCGCGGTCTGCCTGAGACTTTTACACAGAACAAAGCAAAATGTCAGTTTATGTTTCTTCTACCGGCTCGGTTCTGATCAGCTGATCAGCTGGGTTCTGGTTCTGGAGGAGCGACTCTGAGAAAGTGACGTTCACTGTCCGGGTCATGTTGTTATTGAGCAACAAGAGAAATGCTCCATGAGTCACTGCAGGGCAGCTTGACCTAGCTCAGGTCCAGTCCGAAGAGTTTCAACCAGTTCAGGTCCAGTCCGAAGAGGTTAAACAAGTTCAGGTCCAGTCCGAAGAGTTTAAACCAGTTTAGGTCCAGTCCGAAGAGTTTAAACCAGTTTAGGTCCAGTCCGAAGAGTTTCAACCAGTTCAGGTCCAGTCCGAAGAGTTTAAACTAGTTTAGGTCCAGTCCGAAGAGTTTCAACCAGTTCAGGTCCAGTCCAAAGAGTTTCAACCAGTTCAGGTCCAGTCCGAAGAGTTTAAACTAGTT